TGATTTGTCCCCACCAAAACTCATATGGGGGCTTGGTCCCCCTTGTAATGTTGTTGGAAGGCGGTGGGGTCTTTAAGAGGTAGTTAGGCCATGAGGGTTGCGAGGTTAATGGAATCTCCAGGAGGCTTGATTATTTATGGTGAGAATGGGTTGTTAGAAGTGACCCTAGTACCTCCCATCTGTCTCTCTCACCATGTGAGCTTTCTTCCTCATGTGCCCACTGGCTTTCCATTTTTCTGCCCTGCAACCACGGGGTCCTCAATAGGCCAAGCACATGCGGGTGCCACCCTCTTGGAACATCTTGGACCTTCAGGACAGTGACATTGTTTTCTTTATAAATCACCCAGGCTCGCGTATTCTGTTGTAGCAACAGAAAGCACATGTGGGTCCGTTACTGACTTTCCGCCAGGTCCTTTCATTGTGAGATTGTGTGGGATCTTTCACATGTTCCAGTTGGGTGTCTTGCTTACTTTCTCATTTCTGGGGCCAAATACCTAATACCCACAAGTTAAAGGAGGAAAGGTTTATTTTGGACCACAGTTTGCAGAGGCTTCAGTCCACAGTTGGCTGGCTCCAAGTCAAGGCAGCATGGCATAGGGGCATCGCAGAGGAGAAAGAGTTCATGACATGGCGGTCAGGAGCAGGAAGTGATGAAGGGAGGAGGAAGGGTGTGCATTTTCGAGGCAGCACCCACAGTGACCCACCTCTTCCCAGCAGGCTTCACCTCCCAACATCACACGCAGCTAGAACCCAACAGTGGGCTGATCCAGTATCACACCCACGATCCAGTCACCTCCAAAAGCCCCACCTATGAGTGCATGCGGGTTTTTGTGGGACATCTAGATATAAACCATAGCGTTCTGCCCCGGGCCCCCGAAAGACTCATTACATCTCTTTATGCAGAATGCATAAAGTCTGTCTCTAAGTGTTGCCAAAAGTCCTAACAGTATCTGCATTGCTAAAAATTCCAAGTCCAAAATGTCCCCTTTAAGGCAGAATCTTAAAGCACAGGTGAGCACCTGTAAAAATGAAAAGAAAGTTAACATTTCCTATATATAATGGCACAGGATAAACATTCCCATTCCAAAAGGTCTAAATGAGGGATAGAGAGGAATGGGATCAAAGCAAGACCAAAATCTAGCCAAGCAAGCATTAAGTCTCATAGTCCCGTGTCTGTCACCAGGGCATTCTGTGGCAGAATGCGAACTCCAAAGAGCTTAGGTGGCCCTACCCGTATGGTTCTGCTTGTGGTCGAGTCCCTGGTAGCTTTTCTTTTGGGCCGGCTTTGCTCACTTCTTGCGGCTTTGCTCAGCTGATCGTGTTCCTGGTGTCTCCAACCTTTTAGAATCTCCACTGCACTTTCAGCTTAACACTCCCTGTTTCATACACTGCCCTCTCAGGAGCACACTGCCTGTCCTTTCAGGCTTTTCCTGAAGCTTGGGTAGAATTCTTGCATTTGCATGTGCCTAAAACAAGCACCATGTGGATGATGCCAAGGTCTGCCACCAGCCAGAGCAGTAGTCGGGCTTCCTTTTCTCTTGGCTGTAGGGGTTGAATGACTGGATTGCTGAGCACTCTGAAGCCAATCCTGAGGAACAGATTCCCTAGGTCCTGCCATTCTGGAACAGGGGTCCCTGGAGCTCTCTTTCCAAAGCAGTCTTTCACCTTTGCAATTTTGATCCTGCAAAGGGTAGAGTCCTGCTGGTTCTTATGATACCCTCAGGCCATCTTTTCTTGTTTTTTTTTTTTTTTCCGTACCAGAGATTGAACTCGGGTCCTTACGCTTGCAAGGCAGGCCACCTAACCGCTGAGCTAAAGGCCCGGCCCTGGGGCCATCTTTTCTATTGTCCTGTTCCTTCTCAGCCACCAAGTTCTCCTCTGTTCCATCTTGGTAGGCCACAACTTTACCATAGTTTCCTTACCTAGCCAAAACTTTAAAACTTTAAAAAATCATTCTGCCAGGCTGTTTGCTGTTGATTTTGAAGGTTCAGCTGGCTAAAAGCCCCTGACAGTAGCATGGCTCTGCCTCAACATTAGCCTGCCTAGAAATTTCTTCCACTGGATTAATTAATCTGTTGCCCTTAATCTCAGTCTCCTACAATGTCTCTGAATGTGAGCGAATGCAGACAAAATTTCTGCCACAGTATAACACATGGCCTGGAGTCCAGCTGCCATGCAGTCCTTGTTCCCAACTGAAATCTTCTGAATTTAGTCTTTACGAAATGCATTTCTATCAGCCTTCTGGTCTTCTGAGCTCTGCCTAGAATCTTCCATCAAGCTCAGCTTGCAGCGTTGGCTGCTTTTCCAGCTGGCATGTTCAAAACTTTCCAAACTCTTCCTGCAAGCCAGTTCCAAAGGCTTCCAAATCATACAGTCATGTACAGTCCTGCAATCCCACTTCTGGTACCAAAATCTGTCTTGGTTACTTTCATTTCTGGAACACAATACGTAATATCTACAAGTTAAAGAAGGAAAGGTTTATTTTGGTGCCCAGTTTGTAGAGGTTTCAGTCCATGTGTAAGTCAAGACAGTGTGGCGGAGGGGCATGGTAGAGGAGAAAGAGTTCATGACATGGTGGTCAGAAGCAGGAAGGGATGAAGGGAGGAGAGATGTGTGTTATTTCAGGCAGCACCCACAGTGACCCACCTCTTCCCAGCAGGCTTCACCTCCCAACATCACACCCAGCTAGAACCCAACAGTGGGCTGATCCAGCATCGCACCCACAGTCCACTCACCTCCAAAAGCCCCACCTCTGTGTGCATGAGGTTTGAGGGGGACATCTAGATATAACCATCACAGTGGGAGAAAATGCATCACCTGGTGCTGGGGCAGGGCCACTTTTCAGTAGTTTCCAGGGATTGGCCCTTTGGGGAGTCCTTGGCACAGAGCTGTCCTGTGGCATCTGGTGTTGGGGTGTTATTTCCCAAAGTTCATATGGTTAGAGTGGGGCTTTCGGGAGGTGATTGGATAATGGGGGTGCTGTACTCATCAGGAAATTCATCTGTTGATGAGTTTGTAGCTAAACGTGCCATGTTGAGTCGGGGAGCGGCCGGAAGAGCTGTGTCCCTGGAGCTGCCTTTGAAGTGTGCATCCCCTTCCCTGGCTCCTCTCCCCCTCTGCTTCCTGGCTGCTGCTGGTTGAGCAGCTTCCTTCAGCCAGGCTCTTTCTGCCTTGGAGCCAGTGGCACTGTGAGCCGAATGCTTCTCTCTCCCTGTAAGTTGCAGATGTGGAGGATTTTGTCCCAGCGATGGGAGAGCGATGAATACAGGGTGAATGTGGTGTTGTAATGGTGATTGGATGCGTGGTCTCTGTGTCAGACTTCTGAGATCATACATCAGACTCAGGCAAGGTTTAGCCATGTTCTCCCAAGTGTCAGAATGTTTATTTCTAATTTTGTTGTCAGTGAACATTCCCCCTTACTTGACTGCATGTCTCGAAGGGCGGGAAGTTGGCTCTTTTTCATTGTGATATCCCTCAGTGCTCCCTGCACTGCATTCAGGAGAAGTTTCCAGTTCAGACGGAGCACCGGGACACGCATTTTCTGCTTTGCTTCTCCCTACCTGTAGCAGGGCGGATCCTGCATCTTTGGGGGGCTCGTTCTTTGTGGTTGTGGGGCTGGAATGCATTCAGCAGCAGTCTCTAGGTCTCTGGGGGCTCCTAACTGCCAGAGGGTGCCTCGTCCTGTCTGAGAGCAGTCCTTGGTCTTGCTTTTCTGCAGTAGCCGAATGGAGAGAATCCACCTGGGGACTCCACCCTTACCAACCTTCACCCTCTCCAGGGGGGAGTATTCCTCCTTTCAACCTCTTTTAAACTTGAGCAAACTCATAAAAATGAAAAGGAAGATGGTGTGTCAGAAAACAAGAGGTGTGATACCTTCCCTCCCCTTCATAAAGGTCCCTGCTGACCCTCCCATAAAAGATGGGTTAATGAGATGGGATAACGTTTGTTTAATCAAAGTTTTACGTGACACAGAACCCTTCAAAAATGAACATTTGAGCCAGGATGGTGGCACACGCCTGTACTCCCAGCACTCTGAGAATGAAAAGGTTGAGCGTAGTCTGGGCAGCTTAGCCACTTAGTGAGACCTCGTCTCAGATATGAAAAAGGGCTGGGTGTGTAGCTCAGTGAGAAGGCCCTGAGCTCAGTCCTGAGTGGGAAACCCAGCAAGGCCCGTGTGTGCAGATTCCTCCTGGCCTCCCTGGGTAGAGTTCCTTCACTATATCCAGGTTAGATCCTCTGGAGGGAGGATCTTCCAAAGAGGACGAAGAGGGAAAGTGGCCTTTGTAGGTTTAGTGGCACCTCTGGGGGAGAGGAGGAATTCCGGTGTTTAGAACCCGCCCCAGGGGAAGTGGAACTTGGGTACCTGACTGGGCTCAGGAGAAGGTAGGCTGGCACAGGGCAGGAGAAGGCCCAGGCGCTTTGCAGCTGGGGGCCTAGTTAGGATTCTGAGCCCCAGTCCGGGGTTGTGGATGGGAGACGGAGGTCAGGGCTTCATGCTGCCTCACATTCCTGGTCTTTCTTGGAGCTGCCCCAGCCATTTCTCAGTGCTCAAGTTGGCAGCAAGGCAGGGGCCCCAAAGCCAGGCATGGTGGTGCACACCTGTAATCCCAGCACTCGGGAGGCTGAGGCAGGAGGATCACTGACTGTGTGTTCGAGACCAGCCTGGGCTACATAGTGAGTTCCAGGTCAGTCTCAACTACATAGTGAGACCCTGTCTCAAAACAACAACAACAACAACAACAACAACAACAACAAACCAAAAAAACAAACAAAAAAATCAAAACAAAAAACAGCAACAAGGAAGGAGCCCCAGGGTGAGAGGTGAGGCTTTCTGATAGGTTCTATGCCATGCTGGGGATCCATCCAGGGCCTTCCTTCCCACTAAGCTGCATCTCCAGACTTTCAACAAGAAAAAAAGAAGTTTTGAGAATGGTCCTGCTTAGTTGCCCAAGCTGGGCTCAAAGTTGTGATTGCCTTGCCTTAGCTTCCCAGAGTGCTGGGATCACAGATGAGTGTCTCAGTGCCCAGCCCCTGATAGTCTGCAGAGTACAGGATAAGCCTGAGGCCACGGCAGAAATGGGGAGATCAAGATTGTGTACGTGCTGCCACTGAGCTGCAGGCAGCAAGATCACGAGCAACAAGATTCTCTGCTGAAGGCAAAGGAAAGAGGGTCCAGAGAGAAACAGCCTTCCTCTGAGAGCTTGCTCCTGGGAGAGGCGTGTGACCTAACTGTGCCTCAAGGAGCAGGTAACCCTGGCAGAGGGACAGGGAAGGCTTCTTGAAAGGGTTGTGTGCGTCAACCCCACCCTCCCGCCGCCACCTCCCCTCTGTTTAGTTCAGGGCCGTGACAAATGCAGACTCCTGAGTGGCGCCTGCCTGGGAAGGTTGGGAGCTCAGCCTGGCCCGCGTACTTTGCACCTCTTGGGTTCCCCTTGGTACCAGGCACTCTGGTTGGGCCCCAGCCGCAGTGCGACTGGCGCTGTGAGCGGCTGTGACCATGGCTGCTCCTGCCCCAGAGCCCACCCCAGACTTGGAGCTCAAGGCCCCAGCTGCTGCCGACGCTAACGCTGACCCTGTGCCCCCAGCCACCATGTCCACGCAGAGGCTCCGGAACGAGGACTACCAGGACTACAGCTCCACTGATGCCAGCCCGGAGGAGAGCCCGTCGGAGGGCCTGGGCAGCTTCTCCCCTGGTGCCTACCAGCGTTTCGGGGAAAGCAACAGCACGACGTGAGTAGCTGCCGCCATCCCCTCTCCCAGGGCAGTCACCGTCCAGTGTGCCTCTCCCCCTTGTCAGCTCCACATTGCAGACATGAAAGTAAGCCGCAGAGACGGTAAGGTAAGCGACAGCACCGAGATTCCCTGCTGCCCGCCACTGTTTCTTACTGTTTCAGCTGGTAGGGCTGGTAACGCTCAGTTAGGGCTGGGGCTTCAGGAGAGCGTGTAAGGGGCCGTGCTCTTGTTCAGGGCCCCCAAGCCCAGCTGGATGCCTCCTTGGCAGCCCACCACCCCTTCTGCCCCGACCCGAGGAGCCCCTTCGGCTGCCGTGGAGGGGAGAAGAGGAAGCAGTCACTTCTGAGCCTAAACATTCTAGTTGTTAGTGGAGGAGCAGGGGACACTTTGGTTCCTTAAAGAGAGCGTAACTCTTGTCCCTGGAAAGTGCAACTGAAGACCGCTCTGGGCTGAATTGGGCCCTTTCGGGGCCTCAGTTCACCTGGATGTAAGAACAGAGTTGAGGGGCCCAATCTCATGCCGTGCCGGGTGGCAATCACCGTTGGAACAGGAAGATTCAGAGGACACTTTTCTCCTCCACCACGTCTGCCCGCTGCCTTCCAACCTCAGCAGACGCTGACATTTCCGGGGGCCGCGGCGCCCTGTCCCTTGCAGCTCTCCCACTTGTCTCCAAGCCTGGCTATCACCTCCTGTTTCCCCTTGTGGGCTGCGGTGACTTGGTGAGAGGTCCTCTGTGTCCTGCAGTCATGTCACCCCGTGACTACCTAAGGGACCATAGAAGCTTGTCTCACAGCCCCCTCGTGGAGAAGCTCCTGCCTGCGCTGTCTCCTGGGAAGGGCATTGTCCTTTGTGACCTGAACTGGATTTAGAGGATTGCGTCTGTCCCCGTGACCGGCCCCTCGCCACCCCTAGTGCTCGTTACCCACAAAGATTCCGGCTTTGTAGATCATTTCTCACGCAGTGTGCTGTTGTAGATTCCCCTTTTGCATGTAGTTTTAGCTGATGGAAAAGACTACTTCAAGGGCTGGGGATTTAGCTCGGGTTCTGCCGCCTGCCTCACAAGCGCAGAGTGCTGAGTCATCGACCCCCGGTAAACCACCCCCAAATGCTTCAAGCACAGCTGTCAGCAGTGAGGACCACCCTTCCCCAAACCTTGCCCACCCCATTGGCGTCCCCCAGGCAGAGGGGGCTCCATGCACAGCCCTGGCCTGTGTCAGCTGCTCTTTCGGGTCGTGCTGTCATTGTGAAATCGTCCCTTAAGCTGCTCTCTCCGTGGTTTCCCTTCCAGGTTTTGCTCTTTTTTTTCTGGGGCATTGGCTTATCCATGCTTGCCATTAAGAGGCCTGGATCTTATTTTTTTATGAAGATCTGTAAAGTGCACAGCTAACCAGCAGGCATCGTCAGGATGAGCACCGATTGGCTTTGGAGATTGGACGGACGCTGGCCCGTGAGCTGTTGTGAATATCTTTTTCCACACAGGGTTATAACTAAGTTAATCCAAAATTATTTCCCATCACTTGTGACAGATTGAGCACAGCAGAAGACATTTTCCTTGAGCTTTGCTTGGGACGTTTTCCAGGGCATTCTGGGTTCTGGGCTTTCTGTCCTGTGCTGACATTGCGGTGCGAGGTGGGGACCAGGAAAGCCCGTCTGTAGCTGATGGCTGGTCTTGCAGCCCCCTCACAGCTGGCCCAGGGAGAAGGGCTCCTTTGAGACCTGGAAGATTTTTTATTTTCAGCCGGGGCACAGGAGTGGCACAAGCCTCTGTGTAGAAAACAGGGCCAGCATGAATCAGTCATGGGTTGATTTGGGGACCTTTGTTAGCCTGCGTGAAGCTCTGATATGTCTGCTGTGGTAAGGACAAGTTTTGAGCCGAATTCATTGTCCACTTGTGCACGCCCTACCCTGTTATATAGTTTGCTAAGGAACAGAGTACACGGAAATACTTATTAGCCTCTTGCATATACACTGACTATCCACTGGCTGTTCTGGAAGTTAAAGGTACAGTTCAGACCCCTAATTACAGTGTGCAAATAGGAACCCCAGATGTTTCTGGAAAGCTGTGTTGAATGAGACCTTTTCTTAACATTTGGTGCTATCTAGCTGCTGAATTCTTTGACAGCAGCCTCAGTTTACACTGTGGACCACATTTTCTTTCTCCTCAAGTCACTTAATAGCAGCTCGTGGTCGTGCCTCAGTGTTTCTGCCCCAGACGGGCAGGTGAGAAATGAGCTGGCTGGAACTGGCTTTCTCTAGGTGGCCTTTGGAGCAGCCCTTTGCCAAGCGTGGTCTGCATGCCTTCTGGGGTGCGTGCCCAAATCACTTCAACAAGTCTAAGAGGACAGAACACCTTCATCGTAATACTAAGATGTCATTGGCCTTTTCCCCACAGTGACATTTACAGTGTTAAGGCGGGTGCAGTATGGGTGAAATGGCAGGCACTGTAGCGTGGATTGAGGCAGTGGTGACCGATCGTGCCAGTCCTCGCTGTATTTTCCACTGCCACACAGAAGGAAAAGAAAAAATCTAGTTTCACTCAAGAATGATGAAAATAACGTTCCTCAGACCATTAATGTTCTGAAGTTGTAACTCTTCAGTGCAGGTCGCTTAATATGCTGTGTGACAGAGACCAAAGCCCAAATGAAACATACCAAACTGTGACCTTTCTCAAGGCAGAGCCTGTATAGTGCTGCGGCTGTCCCCTGAACTTGCTGCTTTTTTAAAAAACGCTGTTTTTTATGAGAAGGATCAAGTAACTATAGTTCAGTCAGAACTGAGTTGTTGGTGTTTTCTTGGAAACGAAAGAAAAGAACCCGTTTTCTTGGAAGTAAACCTGTCAGCTCAAGGAAATCAATCCACAGTATTTGTTACCCACAGTGAAATTTGAGCTTTCAAGCAAACTTAGAGAAAACAATAAAACCTCCTTGTGTCTAGCTCTGAGGGTGCACAGCTTCTTCCTGCAGAAAACCTTCCGGTGAGACCAGCAGCGATATTAATGAATGTGCGGTTTTGGTATTATATAATGAGAGGTGCTGGGCTTTTAGGGTCTGTGTGACTTAGGGGACCAGTACCCATCACATGCCCAAAAGCACCATGTCAGAGTTTGTGCACAGGTAAAAGACCCACCAAAGAGCAAGTTCACTAGTTTGAATTTGAATATAATAAAAAGTTCAGGGCCGGGGTTTTAGCTCAGTAGTTCCACTGCCTCACAAGGGCAAGGTCCTGAGTTCGATCCCCGGTAACAACAACAACAAAAAGTTCACATCGCACGTTACAAATAAGCTAAGAAATTATCAGGTGTTTCATTTGGAGTGGTGGGACAGAAAATTTCCCATAATGGTATACAACTTCCTGTTCCAACTATATATCTAGAGAGCTCAAATTTTCTGTCTTTAGTTAAGAAAGAAAGACATTTGAAGATGTTAAAAAAAAGTACTGTTTTCACATTATTTTTTGAAAGTGGAATTACTTTTAAAAAAATGTTACTTATACTATCAAGTAAAATTATTTGTAATTAAATATTTACATTTTTCTGGTATACATTTTAACATATATCAGGAAGATATCTTCTACATAAACAAAAGCCATTTGAAATCCTTAATTTATGAGAGAGTAAAGAGGTCATGAGACCAAGCAGAAGTGAGAAGCTCTGATGGGTTATAACTGGAAGCACAGTGGTATGCTCAGCCTTGCTCTTCCCTTTCAGAAAGACAGTTCCCCTCGTGGCTAAAGCTCTCCAGCCCCTGGAGCTGATTTTCCGATGCTTACACGGTATTGGGTCATCTCAGCTCAGGGTCATCTTTTGCAAAGAGCAGTTTTGATGAGTGGCTCGGATTTCTGCTTTTTCCGAGTCAACAGGACTGCAGCAACCATCCTGTCCTAGTTAAATCCCCTCACTTTACAGATGAAGCAGCAGCCCAGAAGAGGGAAGGGGTTTGTTCATGTGGCCAGAGGGGCTTTGTGGTGGACACATAGGTGCAGCACAGTATGTACCTTCGCACCAGGTGGGTTAAGCACTCAGCAGAGTAGAAGTTTCATAGCCCATTATGCCCTGGTCCGTGCCTGCTGCTGCTGTCTCTGGACCCTGGCAGCTCCTATCTGCTTTCTTCATCTTGCCTGAAAACGTGTTGCACAGTGGGGAGATCAAGAGAATTTCTTCCTGAGGGTCAGAGGAGAAGGGTAGACCTACTTTCCAGAGCCTGTGGCTAGGTCTTATTGAGGGCCTTTGTAACAGGTGTTACTTGTGAATTTCAAATCTGAAAAAAAATGTGTGAGTGACAATTGGGAGGGCTTTCCAGACATTGCCAGGGGCCAAATCCTGGTGGTTTTAGACCAAGCGGTGGTGCATTGGACTTGCTTTCCTTTCCTTTGGGGGTAGCACAGGGCAAGAAAAAACTACGAAGAGTGTGTGCCCCCTGAACGCTCTCCTTGCTCTGACTGTGCAGCTGCCTGGGCGCACCTTGCTTCCTCTCTGGGGTTCTTCCCCAGCCCCCTCTTTCTCAGGGGTGTCTTCTTCCCCAGTGGTTCCTGTGTGTCCTGTGTTCCAGCTCGGGTCTGTTTGCCCCGATGAGCCTTAGCTGGACCCCTTTCCTCTGGGCTCTGTGCCTGGCCTTCTCTTAAGACAGGGATTTTTTTTTCCACCTCACGTGGAATTAATCCCCTCATTTTCCTTGAGTTACTGATTTTCAGAAGCCGAGCCCCTCATCTGGTTCGTACCTATTTCTGGTCCTGCAGTTAACACCGTTTTAACATGGTAGATGTGAACCAAGGGGGTGTGAGGGGCTTTCCCATTGCAACTTGAGGGGATACCACTAAAGGAGGGACAGTTTGCCCAAGTCGGAAGGATCACTGGCTAACCAGGTGGGTGACTGACAAAGGCGGCTTCTCCAGTGCTAGGACAAGACAGCGACTGGCTTTTAAAAAAACCAAAAAACCAAAAAACTGAAAGTGCACTGCGGACCTCTAGTCTCTAATGGTGTTGCCTGACTTTTACTTTGTTCATCTTTTACACAATGTTCTGTTAGAGGATCTGGGCTCCTTCGTGTGTCCTCTTGTTGCTTTGGGAGTCAGCTCAGTGGTTAGAAGCAGGCCCACGTCCGGAAGGAGAGGGTGGAGAGCTCAGAGAAGCCCTGCGTCCCTCTGCCTGGCGCTCGAGGGCGGCCGTGGCACTGGGGAGCGCGCAGTCCGGGGTCAGACTGCCTGGGCTGGGGCCGGCTCAGCTCTTCCCTAGGCACGCGGCCTTGAGCAGGCGGCTCCCTTGTGCATAGTCAGATCTCCCAGTGTTGGAGAGGTCCAGTGAGATGACGCTTGTCCGCCTAGGGGTGGTGCGGAGTGCTTCGTAGGCTGGGCTGTCCCCGTGGCTAACACACCCCGTGTCCCTGTTCCCTTCAGGTGGTTCCAGACCTTGATCCACGTGTTAAAAGGCAACATTGGCACGGGACTCCTGGGGCTGCCTCTGGCGGTGAAAAATGCAGGCATCTTGGTAAGGGTCTGTCCAGTGTGCGAAAGTATTTTAGGAGAGGGTGTTTATTTTTTTGATTATTTCACTTAAAAGACTATAGAGAAGCTTTTTTTTTAAAAAAAAAAATTCAGCTAAAAAAGCAAAATTGAGCTGTCCATTCGTCTGAAGATGTTTTGTGAGAACCATGTGTAGCCAGGCTGTCAGCTAAGTCAACAGAGGCCCCTGTCTCCGGGCAGCTTGCTCTGCTGGAGACCTCGCAGCAGACCGAGTTTCTGTCTCTCCCGTGAGCTCAGGAGTGGGTGAGAGAAGCCTGTGCATTGCCTCACAGTGCCCAGCTGACCCTCTCTGTGCCCGTGTGGCCTTGCTGTAGCGATGAGTCCCCTTCCTGCGTCCCTCCGTGTCTCTTCTGGCCAGAGCTGCGGAAGCTCTGCTCTGAGCTGTGCAGCAGTCTGGGAAGGGTCGGGGCTCTGTGCCTGGAAAGCGCTCAGTAGCATTTCAGTCATTTGTGAATGGAATCCCCCTTGGGCTCCTTCTTAACTCCCCCGTTTCTCTCTCCCTTTCTGCCTGCCCCAGCTGGGGCCCCTCAGCCTGCTGGTGATCGGCGTGGTGGCCGTGCACTGCATGGGTATCCTGGTGAAGTGTGCGCACCACTTCTGCCGCAGGTGAGCGCCCTGTCTGCCGCCTCTCGGATGACAAACTTAGTTCTGGTTGCTTGACCCACCCTGGAAGTGGGAATTCACGCGGCTTACACTCGGTTCTTCCCATCCTGAGGACGGCTGCTTGTTACTAAAACGCTGCCCTTCCCTGGGTGGTCATTTGTTACACTTACCTGTGTCGGGTGGGCAGAGACCACTTTGGAATTTCCTGTGCTTTACGATGCTCCTGCCCTGAAACAGTTCTACAAGGTGGTTGTGAATTACTCCGAAAGTGACTGTCCTGGGAACTCAGTATTATGACCCTTGAAAGCATGAGCTGGAAGACTGAGAGGTGGGGACCTGGCTGTCTTGGTTCTGTCGTTGTCTAACCCACACCCTCTGCCCTTCCTCCATCCCTTCCCTCTCCAGACTGAACAAACCCTTTGTGGACTACGGGGACACTGTGATGTATGGACTGGAGGCCAGCCCCAGCTCCTGGCTCCGGAACCATGCCCACTGGGGAAGGTAACTGCCTTCCCGTTTCCTTTCTGCTGTGGCCTCCCAGAGCAGAGGCCTTCCGGTCGGCGTGTGGGCAGTGCCGTTTGGGTCAGCTCTGCTGGCGGAGACCTGTGCGACCTTGGGTTGTACGCCCTTCTTCTCTGGCCTGGGTTTGGGGCCTGGCCTGAAAGATCGCTAATGACCGGTCCAGCTTTGACAACCTGTGACCAGTGATTATGCTTGGTTCACTCGTTTGTTCAGCAAACATATTTTATTTTATTTTTGGTACCGGGGATCGAACTCTGAACTTTGTGCTTGCGAGGTAGGCAGCAGAACCACTGAGCTACATCCCTGGTCCTGCAAATGGATTTTAAGCACTCCAAGTGGTGCAGAACAGTTCTAGGTCGGGAGAGAGTCCCTGGGGTAAATCATGTGGTTCCCTGCTTCCCAGAGAGTAGGGACAAAGGGACACAGGAAGAGAAGCCACACAGCAAGGCGAGAGAGCACAATGACTTCTGCAAGGAGAGGGGAGGCGGACGCCTGGGGTGTCGGAGGGGAGGAGCTTCGGAGGTGCTCTGGTGTGGCTGGCACATGGGAGACACAGCAGAGGTGAGAGGAGGAGCCAGGCAGGGACAGGTCTGGAAGACAGAGTGGAAATTCCTCCTCACAGTGACTTCAGATGCCTGCAGGGAAATGCACTGCTTTCTGTCCTGTATCCAGATGTCCAGGATTCATGCCATGAGGGCTGAATTTTTTTTAATTGAATCACGTACAGCTCTATTTTCTAGAATAAAGTCCCTTTTTAGGGGTCAGCGAGGAAACTTACCTTCATTCAGTTGGCTTCATTCACCATGCGATACAGATTCTCTCATTCTGTTGGCAAAATCCGTTTCTGTTGGCTGGGAGAAGCCAGCTTGCCAAGTGCTCACTAGAAGTTGTTTGGTTGGTTGGTCTTTAATTATCCTCCCTCCTTCTCTCCCTGGTTTTCCAGAATCCTCCCTTTTACTAAACTGTGTTCTCATAGGTGAATCATTTTTTTAAAATTTTTTATTTATCTATTTTTTTTGGCTTTTTGAGACAGCATCTCACTATGTAGTTGAGACTGACCTGGAACTCACTATGTATCCCAGGTTGGTCTCGAACTCACAGAGGTCCTCCTGCCTCAGCCTCCCGAGTGCTGGGATTACAGGCGTGCACCACCACGCCTGGCTGTCAAAGCATTTTTTAACAAGACAGAAGGACATAGAGTTAAAAGTGAACACTTTTACAGTTACATGGGTACCCTTTTGGAACTTTCTGTGGTTGTATAAACATTCACGATTGGAAAAAAAAAATTTTTTTTTGCACACATGAACTGTATTACGTACTATTTGGAAATTTGCTTTTTTTCTCCTAAGATGTCTTAGATATTTTTCTCTATCAGCACATACAGATTTCACCTGTTCTTCCCAGCTGTTAAACAGCTGGAAACCTCTACATTTAGGGATGGTCTGTAATTCACTGGCTTTCCTGGGGTTGGCCCTAAGGTTGATGTCAGCAGTTGCATAGCCACCAGCAGTCTTTCTGGGAACGTTTAGTTCTGCATGTTTAGGTTGTGTTCGGTACAGGCTGTAGCATGATCCCATGAAGTGTGTTCTTCCAGATCTTTTATTTCAGGGGCTCCCTGTAGCTGTGGGAACTGCCCTGAAATGGGGCAGGTGGGCAGGCAGTGGGAGGCCAGGGCTGCACCGTGGCCATGAGGGCTGTGCCGTGCCGACTCCCTGACCTCACACAGCACAGCAGACAGGAGACCAAGAGAGGGACCTCCGGAGCCACACGATGGAGCCTCCTCTCCTTCCTCCCGAGGCTCCAGGCTTGGGCGCTGACACAGTCTTTCCTTGGGAGGACGGGCTTGTCGTGGTTGTCCTCGCCGCCTGCTGGGGAGGGTCTGCGGTAACTTCGGGCACCTTTAAGTCGCCGTCTCTCTGGGGTCTGCACCTGTGTCGTGATGATCTTTCTCTTCCCCCCCTCCCGTCTCCAGGCGCACAGTGGACTTCTTCCTGATCGTCACTCAGCTGGGATTCTGCTGTGTCTATTTTGTGTTTCTGGCTGACAACTTTAAACAGGTAGGGTCCCGATCAAAGAGTGAGAATGACAAGAGAGGAGTCGAATTTCTGTTTGGGGTTCCTGCCAAGCTAGTTTTGGTCAACGAAAGAGCTCAGGTTTTAGTACTTCATGGACACAGTTTCTTTTGTTTTGGTTCTCATGTGAAGTGCGGGGCTCAGAGAAACCCCAAGATGTCTGTCCATCCTTTTGTCTTAAGAGAGCCGCGCTCACACCCAGCTCGGGCAGTTGGGTTGCTGTTGGTGGCCATGGAGATCTCCAGGGAGGCTCCCGGGCCGCCGGTGTCTCTGAGGCCTGGCTCACACGCGGGGGCCTCTAGTGAGGAACTCTTCGTCGAGGCGTCCGCTGCTGCTGTCCCTGGACGGCCTTCGCCTTTCTTCCCCTCATTCTAGGTGATCGAAGCCGCCAACGGGACCACTAACAACTGCCACAACAATGAGACGGTGATCCTGACACCCACCATGGACTCGCGTCTCTACATGCTCGCCTTCCTGCCCGTCCTGGTGCTGCTGGTGTTCATCCGGGACCTCCGCGTCCTGTCCGTCTTCTCCCTGCTGGCCAACATCAGCATGCTGGTCAGCCTGGTCATGATCTACCAGTTCATAGTCCAGGTACGAGCCCGGGACCACCCCACCCTGTGAAATAATACTGGAGAGGCAAGCAGAGCAAGACGGCGCAGTGTGAGGAGTTCCACGTCCCCTACGTGTGGGCTGTTCAGATGAGAAGTTCTTAGCACCAGCACTGTTGTTTTGGGCCGGATGATTTTATTGTGGGACTGTCCTAGGTGGCAGCAGCACCCGGGTCTCTACCCCACGGGTGAAGAGACAGCTGTGCCCCCAACGTTCTCTAGATGCCGCCCCACATCCTGGTGAGGTGCCCTCAGTCCCCTGTGCTGAAATCACTGGTTTCAAATTTTTTTGATTCAGTTCTTAGAGCGTGATCAGTGTGTACAATTGGAAAATGGGAAAAATTAAGATCAAAATAAAAATCAATTTTTCTAATCTGTTTAGATAAGATAACTCTCTGTTTGTCAAAATTACAAATGCTCAGGCTTTCTCAGCCCTAGTGAGCGGGTGTGGGCTGACATGAGAGCTTTCTGAGGCTCTCGCAGTAATGGATCTCGTCCCTTGAGGGCTTTTTTATCCCCTCAGAAATTAGCCACATTTGCTGACACAGGAGGCATTAATACCTCTAGTGACCTAATCACGTCCCAGTGGTGCAGCATTGTCACAATGGCAGTCGGGTTGCAGCCCGAGCTGTAGAGGGCACAAACTATGTATGAGCCACAGTGCATTGGAACAGGCACTGACTCTGAAAGCCAGCTTTTCTTTTAGTGTAAGCAGAACGTATGCACTTGGTGTAAAAGCCAAGCTCTAGAAGATCGGCAGCTTCTGACCACAGTCCTTTCTTCTTGCTGGTGAGCACGGTTCAGTGGTGAACCAAGCAGCAACTGTGGCTGTGGCTCCTTCTACAGTGGCCCTACGGGCCTGCCTGATACCTGTAGTTAACAGATGTCCTCTCCCCACTTTGTTCTGAACCCACAGTCTGTGCACTGAGCTACATCTTCAGCCCTTTTCATGTTTTATTTTGAGACAGGCTCTCACCAAGTTGCCCAGGTAGGCTTGAACTTGGCAATCCTCCTGCCTTAGCCTCCCCAAGTGCTATAGCTCAGCTAACAATTGACTTTTTTATTTGCCTGTATTTTACTGTTTGTTTTGCTGTGTTTTCCCCAATGTTTCCCAACACTCTTCACATGCCTCTCAATATTTCCCAAATATAAAGCCTCATTGACAAGAAAAAATAAAGAAGTCCGGGGTGGTGGTACACACTTGTAATGCCAGATAGTCAGGAGGCCGAGGCAGGCGGACACAAGTTTGATGTCAGCCGGGTTGACTTAGTGAGACCCTGCCTCAAAAAGAAAAAAGAAAAAAAAAGAAAGGCTGGGGTTGTAGTCCAGGAGTAGAGTACATGCTTAACATATGTGAGGCCCTGGGTTGAGTTCCTAGGACTGCAAAACGGGGCGGGGGGAGGGAGGGAGAGGAAGAAAGAAATGGAGACAGAGGGAGAGAGAGAGCATAGGAGCCCATCTAAATCTTTACCAACATCCTTCCAGCTTCATTTATGTGGGCTGCTTGCATATCATATCATAGTGATTATATAAATTCAAAAATATGTCTCAATGTGATTTCCCAGGTAGTTTTCATGTTCTACTTGGTCATCATCCCAGTCTGTACTTTTTAAACAGTAAATATTATTCTGTGATAACGTTGATGGACGACCCCTTTCGTAACTCGCCACTTGTTCGGGAACATTGAAAGTGCTGGTTTTTAGTGACTTTGCTAAATAGCTTTGCACAGCATCACCTACCTTATTATTATTATTATTATTATTATTTTTTGGTACGGGCATCGAACTTGGGCCCTTGCGCTTGCGAGGCAGGCGGCAGAACCACTGAGCCCACCATCATCTTTTGATGTTTTTTATTTGAATCAGATTTCTGGGGCTGGTCTGCCCTATGCAGTTCTAGCCTCTGAGTCTTTTGTAGTACACTGGGCTGGTCTTTCCCCAACGCAAATAGGGTTTTCCCCACCCACCTAGAGAGAAAAAAACTGCAGGGCCAAGGGTCCCTACCGTGCCCGTTCCCCCTTTGTGGGACCTTGGAATTAGGAGGTGGGCCCTCTTTCCCTCGGGTGCAGCTCTGGGTAGCCTTTCCCCGTGCTCTCTGTCTCTTTCAGAGGATTCCCGACCCCAGCCGCCTGCCCTTGGTGGCATCCTGGAGGACCTACCCCCTGTTCTTCGGCACGGCCATCTTTGCGTTCGAAGGCATCGGGATGGTAAGAGCTGGGCTGTGCCTGGGCGGAGCGCTTCCCGGTCCCACACCCTGCCTTGATGCTGAGGCAGTGCTGACAGAGAGGCTCTCTGGAGACGTCCTGGCCCCTCAGTGAATAAGCTTTCCGGGACTCTGGAAGCTTCCCAGTCCCAGTCCTTGAATAGAAGTGATGTGTAATTTTAAGCGTTTGTCATTGGTTTTCATATTCATGACATGTTTGAGTTAATTATTGAATCCATACACCCAAGAGTAATTCCTCTGCCCTGGAACATTGGTGTGCTGCATTTTCGGTGTGTAAATGAGTAGATTTCACTCGAGGCTGGGCTTCTCTCCTCATTGTTGCTGTGACCTTCCCAATTCTTTTCCTAAAGAGGCATCTGCACTCAGCTGTACATATGTTGGTTTTCACTTATAGGACTCTTCTCTGAAAGAAAGTTCTAAGCTGGCCAACGGCCTGAAAAGGAGATAACTCTTCTCCTTGTCTGGCATTTCTTTCTCTCCCCATATAATTTCATTAATACCTCATTTTCTCCCGGGCTGGGGATGTAGAGTTCATGGCACTGCACCTGCCTTGCAAGTGCAAGGACCTGAGTTCCATCCCTTGTACCGGGAAAAACAACAACAACAACAAAAAATAAACCTTACGTACTTTCAAGAAAACCTAAAAAACCAGACAGCTTTTTTGCCAAACCGCTGAGGAATCACACAGGCAGTGTCTGTGGGAAGTGTGAAGGCTGACGGGTCCAGGGAGGCTTTGCTCGCGCCACGCCTAGATCACCATTCCTGCTGAGTTTACGCTCCGCCCCGCGCACCTTCCTGGTGTTTCTCATGCCTGGCGGGACAGCCACACTCACCGTGGGGCTCTCGCTGCTGGGTCAGAGGCCTCTGCGGGCCCGTGTTTGCAGGGAGATTGGTCTCAAGAACTCAGCACTTGAGAGAAGAGGTTGAGATGTGTGGGAAGATGCCCAGAGCTCCGGAACCTTGGGGAGGAAGGTCGTACTGAGATTTTATCAGTTTTCCCTCGCATCCAGGGCGGTTCTTCATTTCATCAGCTGAGGCTTGCATACAGCATCATCTAGAAACATTCCCTGCTGCGTCAAGATTTCTCACTGTTTTCCATCGTTTCGACTCTTCCTTCACATAGAGTGGCAGGGGGACGCTCGGCCAAAGGCGTCCAGCCCTCTGCTCTCTGCGTTTGGCTGGCCTGGGCCTGCTGAGACAGAGCGGACGTGCTCCCTGCCTGTCCCTTGGACTGGAGTGGAGACGCGGGGTCCGCTGAAGCTTGAGCTCCTGCCACTGGGGCGGGACAGGTGCCGAGGGCCACGTGGAAATGCGGAGCCTGGCGACCCCTGGAAGCGCTGCTGCACGGGGGTGTGAGGCATACAGGGCGCAGACCACCGTGCCTCCCGGCCGCAGGCACTGCAGGGCGGGTGTGCAGTGGCGGGACGGAGTTGCAGGCTGTGACGGTCGATCGTCACAATGCCACTCCATGAGCGCCCTTCCCGGTGGCCTTTGCATTGCCAGAGCTGAGGAAGGGCCTGAGGGGACTGAGAAAGCGGGGTCGGGGGCTTGCAGCAGCAGTCTGGGCGTTGGGCGCAGGTTCGCCCATCTCTCTGGGTACCTGGTGAAGTCACACACCTGTCCTCTGACGAGGAGGTGGGACTATTCACCTGTGTTTGCCAGTGGAGGCGGCGGGTCACTGGGGAACGGGTGGCGTCTCACCCAGCCTGTGCTTTGCATTTGGAGCTGCTCTGTTGGGTCTTGCTGGAGGCCTGCCGTGAGGGCCTCCTGATTGTCACACGCTGCCCTGTGGGTGACAGGAGGACAGGACTGGCCTGGGCCAGAAGCCCGTCCCCACCTCGCAGGGCTTCCTGGTGAGATGGTGAGCTCTGGAGTACCCTCTGGGCCTGAGAGAGGCCTTTCTTTCCTTCCTTCCTTCCTTCCTTCCTTCCTTCCTTCCTTCCTTCCTTCCTTCCTTCCTTCCTTTTTTTGGCATCAAGAATTGAATTCGGGATGTTGTGCCTGCAAGGCAGGCAGCAGAATCACTGAGCTACATCCCCGGCTCAAGAGTGGCATTTCTGATGAAATGACTTGGGCTCGTTTGTTCACCTGTCCAGTAAAATGTGCTTTTAGAGAACCCCGGGGATAAAGAAGTGACTTCCTTCCCGACGACAATACCGTGCAGGCCATTAATTTTGCTTCTTCCTGTGCTTGCTCAAAGGTTCTGCCTCTTGAAAACAAAATGAAGGATCCCCAGAAATTCCCGCTCATCCTGTACCTGGGGATGGCCATTGTCACTGTCCTCTACATCAGCCTGGGGTCCCTGGGGTACCTACAATTCGGAGCCAGTATCCAAGGCAGCATCACCCTCAACTTGCCCAACTGCTGGTATGTCGGGCAGGACTGAAACCCCCAGGAGCAGGGGATGGTGTTAAAAAGCGTGGGAGCAGAGGGTGGTGGGTTTCCTCTCTCTCTTACATGAGCCCCTCTTTGCTGCCATCCTCTGGCTGCCCTGCCCTTCTGTGTGTGTTTGGCTGAGTGAGTCCTGTCTGGGTTTATACTGAATCTGTGTGCTGATCAGCTGACTGGTAGCCATTTCTTCTGGGAATCCTGCGCCACGACGGGCCCAATGTCCACTCTGTTGGCCTCAAGTGTTCCAGATGGATGGGGAGAGGAGGGCCAGCCTGCACTTGGTTAGTAGCTTCTGAAGTGTCTCTCCCTCGGCCGTCACGGCTTGGTGTGCCAGTGGGTCGCGCCGTGGCTGGGGCGCCGGGAGTCCTTTGTCTTTAATTGCTGGGTGTCTCGTGGGACTGACACATGGTGACAGGCTTGCTAGAAAGGCAGATGCCAGCTGGGTTTGCCAGCTGGGTGTGGCACATAATCAATCCCAGCTGCTTGGAAGGCTGAGGCAAGAGGATTGCAAGTTTATTGGCCAGTCTAAGATCCTATCTCAAAATTAAAAAGAAAAAGAAAACAAAAAACGAGCTGGGGATGTAGCTCAGCATGAAGTCTTCCAGCACCAGATAGATATGTAGATAGACAGGGCTGTGGCTCAGCAGTAAAACACTTGCCTAGCACACATGAGGCCGTGGGTTCAATGCCCAGCACTGCAAAAATAAAACAAAGGCAGGAAACAGGGTGTGGTAGGCAACAGTTCTCTTCTGAACATGAAAATCTCTGTGTGGAGAGCAGCTGTTTATAGATACGGAGAAGCCTGCAGTGCCCAAAGGAATAAAAACAGCCTTGTAGTGCAGCCTGGCAGACCTACCAGTGTGTGCTTTTCGCTCTGACTGGTGAGACTTTGGATGAGGACAGATGGAGAAAGTCGAGGAAGATGTCTGCCCAGTGGTGTCGGTGTCTATCACCAGACGGCAGCAGGTGTCCTGGGAGTTTAAGTCTGTGGCACAGCTGTCCAAGCGGCAGCACTGAAATGGGCTGCTGTTGTCAGAAAGTTTTTGTTTCTCTTTCTCTGCTACCTGTTTAGAATGTCCAGATAGTTCTTTACTTCCAAGAGGGAAAATCCGCACGGTAGCTTGGTGTAGCCGCATCACCTTCCCCTAAAAGACAGACCCATCCGTCGCAGCAGGAGAAGGCCCTGTCATCTGACTGCCCGAGTGAGCCTCTGTCCCCGCCCTGACTCCCCAGGCCTGGCTGTGCCGCCTTCTTGGGTCTGTTCAGGTGCAGAGTCCTTGGTCTCCCCACCTGTGACTCCCCTGGTTCCACGTATCCCCCCATCCAGAGGCTTTGAGCCTGCTTTAGTTATGGAGCCGCCTGCTGATGCTTTTTTCCCAAGCATTTTTATTATCTGGACGTGTGTGAAACTTCTGACCAAACTCAGGCTTTCCCCTCACGTGCTCTTGGTTAGATGATGTTAGAAATCGTCCGGTTATTCTCTTGAACCCCTGAGAAATTCAGCACTCATTCTACCCGTAATACGACCACACCGTGGACTTCCAACAGGGGAGCCCAAGCCCTCTCAGTGGGTAACGCAGGAGATGTGGAGCTTTGTGGCACCAGAGCGACCGTCCCTTGCGTAATCACGTCATATGCATGAGTGATTTTGTGAGCTCTGCCCGGAGCAGGCCCTGGGGTGACGAGTGGGGATGTCCCACGGTGAGATAACATTTCTCGGGGAGCTGCTCATGCTCTGTGCTAGGAAGGCGCCACCGTGGCGAGGAAAGGATTCTGCTCCTCTATGCATCCTGCACGGCGGCCGTCGGATTCTAAGGAGTGTGGAATCAGATGGGAGGGATTTAGAAAGGCATGTTATATTTCGCTTCGTACTTTTGAAAGGGTATTTGCTCACAGACCTGTGAAAGATTTCGGATGTTCAGCAGGGATACAGACACTGTCCGGTTGTACCGCCCCTTCTCCGGCAGCTGTACTCCTGCAGTCTCGTGTTTCCTTCGAGCTGTCCAGCTCCCGTGTGTGTCGGATGTGCACGGAAGGACTCGTCTCTCCGGCCGAGAATGTGGGAGACGCCCTCCTGCTCCATGTTGTGTTTCTGCAGTGCGCATGGCGGAGACAGTTCTGTGTCCGCACCCAGAGTCCAGTGTCACAGTTTTTAAGAGCTACGTAGGGACACCATGACTTATTCAACTGGTTCCCCGCTCGTTAACATTTTGTTTTCAATCCTTCACCCTTAAACAGTGCTGCACGTTAAATATTTTGCATGTGTGTTTTTGTGCACGAGGAAAGCTCCTGAATGGGGCTGCAAGGGCCAAGAGCGCGTGGGTTCGTGACCTTGAGCTCCACCTCCAGGTCACCGCTCTGCACTCAGGTGCTGCAGCAGCCCTGCGCTCCGGCTGAAGCCGTGCTCTCTCTGCAGGCTGTACCAGTCGGTGAAGCTGCTCTACTCCATCGGCATCTTCTTCACGTACGGGCTGCAGTTCTACGTCCCGGCCGAGATCATCGTCCCTTTCTTTGTGTCCCGAGTGCCTGAGCAGTGCAGGCTGCTGGTCGACCTGTCCGTGCGCACCGCCATGGTGTGCCTGACCTGTGAGTTACCGCGCCCTGTGTCCCCCCAGGGCCCAGGCCCGGAGAAGCCGCCTGTGCTGAGGGCAGAACCCGGCACACCCGAGCCTCAGGGACACGGGAGCAGCATGCGCTGGCAGGGGTGGGTGTGAGCAGCTGCGGTGTCAGCTCCAAGCAGTATGGTAAAAGGAAGAGGGCTGCTGGACCCAGGTCGCAGTGAGGACAGGGCCCTTTGATAGAGGAAATGCGTTGTTTTTTCAAAGAGTTCATTTTGAGCCTGGATTTTTTTTTTCACAGTTCACCTGGAGCTGGGATGATAGACATTTTTTTATGTCTGTCTTATAAAATATGTCTCTTAGAAAGTGTCTCTTAATTCACCTAGGTGTTTGATTTATTCTTTTTAAATTTTTTTCCCCAGTACTAGGGGTTGAACTCAGGACTTTGCACTTTCAAGGCAGGCATGGTGCCATTGAGCTAAATCCCTGGCTGTTTGATTTCCCTTTCCCCCAATCACCTGCCAAGGGCTGTAGTTTAAAAAAAGGTGTCATTAGGCATCTGTGTGGTGGTGCACAACTGTAGTCCCAGCCCTTGGGAAGCTGAGGCAGGAGGCCAGCCTGGGCTACTTAGGCAGACCCCGCCTTGAAACAAACAAACAAATAAATAAATACATGGACGTCACTTTATTTGCTCTTAGTTGAAAACTAATAGAAATTAGTAAAAAAATTAATTTGTTCTTGTTGTGTCTGTGAGCTAGTAGGCTAGGGAATCCCCCGGGGAAAATGGTCTATGTCTAATTTACATTTCTAGGAGATTTGCAGTTTTTCAAATAAAGTACTTGAAGGATATATTTATCATTTTTGGCATTTTTATTTCAGGTTTTATTCTTTTGGGACAAGAATCTCTTTGGTTATTATGTTGAGACTTCCCTGGGAATTTCCTTACTCAGTTTAAGTCTCTGGAATAAAGACTGGTCTGTATGAGTTCTAACTGCGCTGGACTCAAATGCAGAGACAAATGTGAATGTTCTCTGGCATTTGCTCATAGCCCAAGAAATCAGCAGTGACTTTATTGATGGTCTGTTAGCAAGAAAAGGGCAAGCAAGAGGCTGCCTGTCCTTTCACCCACCCACGCCAGCGTGAGCAGTGGACGAACACCAGTCCCCTGAGAACCTCTTCCGGCCCCTGCAGTTCCTTTCTTAATTTACTTCCAGGATAGTGGGTGGAAACTTAGTGTCCTGGATCTGTGTGTGGAAAGAACTCACTGGAACCGAGGAGGTGCAGGCTTCCATGATCTTCAGAGTTGGCCCTGTGCATTTCTCTTTAGGCAAAGGCAGAGGCGACACAGCTGCCCACAGCTCCCCACCACCCAGAGTCTGGCTCTGTGGTTCAGGTTCCTTCCTGAACGGCCCACAAGGCAGCTAAGCCAGGGCTTGGAGCAGCTGGCACAAAAAGGAACAGAAGGCGCGTTGCGGTCACAGGATTGTCTCCCTGTGTGGTGGTGGGACGGGCTGCTCGCACTGTGGAAATTACCCTCCTGCCAGCTCCCCTGGCGTTGTGGTTCAGATACGTGAGTCCTCTGTGGACACCGTGGCTTTGAGGGCTGAGAGGACAGCCGCCATGTGGACCGTGGTGTGTGTGGCCCCATTCTGGAAGCCGAAGGGCGTTGGAGGACAGGGAGGGGGTAGTTCAAATAATGTGCCCTTTTCCACAGCGGTTCCTAGCGGAAAAATAGGTCTGTGCTGTGTCCACCACACCCCTGAGGAGGCCGAGGTCTCAGTCCTCATAGATCTCATGCTGCCCTTAAATGCCTCTTGATTTCTTGCTTCGTGGTTCCTGGCTCTCCCTGTGGTCTCACCTCCCTTCTGCAGAGTGATGCTTAAAAAAGCAAGCCTGCTTTTGATCTTTAGGCGCGGGCGGCTGTTTTCCCCTCTGGTCTGTTGGGACTGAGCGTGAAAGATGGCGGCCCCTCCTCTCAGAGAGCTCTCTGGCTCCTTCCGTTCCCTGGAGACTCTGAAGTGATTACGGCAACCAGGAGAGGCCTCTCAGGGTAGCATCAGCCTAATGTATTTGTGTGAGTTCATTTTGTCCTTGCCTCTCAGTCCTTTCAGGTCTTTTGGCGCAAGGTCTATGATTGTAAATCTTTTTTTGTTTTGTTTTGTTTTTTTGAGACAGGGTCTCACTACGTAGTTGAGACTGACCTGGAACTCACTATGTAGCCCAGGCTGGTCTCGAACTCACAGCGATCCTCCTGCCTCAGCCTCCCGAGTGCTGGGATTACAGGCGTGTGCCACCACGCCCGGTTGTAAATCTTTGATATCACACTCATACATCTCATCAGCAGCTTGTGTCACTACCTTTTCTGGCACTTGTCTTTTTTCCAAAATTTTCTCTGCTTCCTTGCCCTCCGTTGTTACGGAAGGAATCAGTAGTGACACACAGAGAGGCAGCAGAATGGAAGCAAAATAACAAATTTACTTATCGATAAGGGTCGATCCCACATAAGCCATGCCTGGATCGACGACACACTGGGTTACAGCTCCTCCTTTTATAGGGTTTCGCAACCCTGACTTCCTTTGGGAGGTTACATTCCATTCTCACGGTTCAATCACGGTCACAGAATAGTTCATCTTTTCAACCCAGACGTAACAGTTCTTTGCAGTTGGGGAGTTTACCTTTAAGATTCACTAGTTATCTATCCTAGTCCATGGGAAGGGGGCGTTCAGGGTCGGGGGAGCGAACGTTGGCACTGGTCCTTTTTAATCTTGACACTTTTGCGATCAGGTGGCTTCAGTCTCTCTGGGAGCTCAAGACCTTGCCCTGTTATCTCAGGGTCAGACCAATGCCTCCTTCAGCAATTAGTGCCTTCGGTGCCTACTAGTTTTGAGCTAAATCAACAAACTGCTGTTAGAGACAGCAGAAGTCACTTTACACTGTAACACTTCACAGGTTTTTGTTATTTATAAGTTTTCCCTATCACCGTCTCTTGTGGTCTCACCTCCCTTCTGCAGAGTGATGCTTAAAAAAGCAAGCCTGCTTTTGATCTTTAGGCGCGGGCGGCTGTTTTCCCCTCTGGTCTGTTGGGACTGAGCGTGAAAGATGGCGGCCCCTCCTCTCAGAGAGCTCTCTGGCTCCTTCCGTTCCCTGGAGACTCTGAAGTGATTACGGCAACCAGGAGAGGCCTCTCAGGGTAGCATCAGCCTAATGTATTTGTGTGAGTTCATTTTGTCCTTGCCTCTCAGTCCTTTCAGGTCTTTTGGCGCAAGGTCTATGATTGTAAATCTTTTTTTGTTTTGTTTTGTTTTTTTGAGACAGGGTCTCACTACGTAGTTGAGACTGACCTGGAACTCACTATGTAGCCCAGGCTGGTCTCGAACTCACAGCGATCCTCCTGCCTCAGCCTCCCGAGTGCTGGGATTACAGGCGTGTGCCACCACGCCCGGTTGTAAATCTTTGATATCACACTCATACATCTCATCAGCAGCTTGTGTCACTACCTTTTCTGGCACTTGTCTTTTTTCCAAAATTTTCTCTGCTTCCTTGCCCTCCGTTGTTACGGAAGGAATCAGTAGTGACACACAGAGAGGCAGCAGAATGGAAGCAAAATAACAAATTTACTTATCGATAAGGGTCGATCCCACATAAGCCATGCCTGGATCGACGACACACTGGGTTACAGCTCCTCCTTTTATAGGGTTTCGCAACCCTGACTTCCTTTGGGAGGTTACATTCCATTCTCACGGTTCAATCACGGTCACAGAATAGTTCATCTTTTCAACCCAGACGTAACAGTTCTTTGCAGTTGGGGAGTTTACCTTTAAGATTCACTAGTTATCTATCCTAGTCCATGGGAAGGGGGCGTTCAGGGTCGGGGGAGCGAACGTTGGCACTGGTCCTTTTTAATCTTGACACTTTTGCGATCAGGTGGCTTCAGTCTCTCTGGGAGCTCAAGACCTTGCCCTGTTATCTCAGGGTCAGACCAATGCCTCCTTCAGCAATTAGTGCCTTCGGTGCCTACTAGTTTTGAGCTAAATCAACAAACTGCTGTTAGAGACAGCAGAAGTCACTTTACACTGTAACACTTCACAGGTTTTTGTTATTTATAAGTTTTCCCTATCACCGTCTCCAAGGGGAGCAGGGGATCGGGTCCAGCCTCACTTCCAGCCCCTCCTGGCGGTTCACGTCTTCCCCCGTCCCTGCTTCCTCGCGCTCTCCCGTAGCTGATGCCTACTGTCTCTTGCTTCTTTGTAGCCTGGCGGAGAGCAGGGGAGGGGAAGACAGACTCAGAGGGCGGTGTGCAGTGTGTGATGGAGTGGGGCAGGATTTCCTCTGGGCTCCTGGTCAGTTTGTCTGACGCCTGTGTAGACGGAGGGCCTGGAAGAGGCCCGCTCTGTCAGCGGTACGAATGCTCTGTGGCATCTGCCGTGCGGAACGTTTTGCTTCATTTAGGTGTGAGAATTTCAGAAACCTACTACACAGGAGATGTAATAACATGAAACCGAACCTGTGACGAGGCCTGTCCAGACTGGAGTGCGCAGCCTCAGGCGGGATCTTCTGGCGTTTCCCATCCTTAGTCTTGCAGCTGCAGGGAAAGAGGCAGTGAGCGGCATTAATGACCCGGCAACTGCGGGCCTCTTCAGGAACCCACGCTGGTCTCAGATTCCTTGGCCGTGAACTGTGAAGTACCTGTGATCTCTGAGGTTTCTCCCCATGCCAAAATTCTGTGGCTTGGCTTGGTTATAATTTCTATGTAAATATTGTGCTAAAAAAGGATAGTTAATGTAGAAACATTTGGGGATTAAAGACTTCCTCCGTATCCCACTGACCTAACAGAATAATTTTTACTTTGCATTTTATCTTTGTCTTAATGCTCATCGGTGCAGTGTAAAAACATTATCAGTCATGGGATATGCATAACTTCGTTCTCACTTTATTATTATATCATGAATATAGACATAGTCTTTCCTGTTTTCTTGACATTCCATTGTATTGGTGGATAACAGTTATGCTACTCCTTTAATAGATAGCTGGATTGTTTCCCTTGCTTTCATATTTTTCCTGTCTGTACCCCCACCTAGTGAAATGATAAACCTGTTCAAGACCCTCACTAATTTTGAAGGTGGACTGTCAGACATTAAGAAGTAACAGGATGTGGGCCGGGGATTTAGCTCAGTGGTTCTGCCACCTTCCTTGCAAGCACAAGGACAGGAGTTCGATCGCCGGTACCAAAAAGAAAGAAAGAAAGAAGTAACAGGATGGTTTTCACGAGCGTTGACTGGAGAAGAAAAGCAGCAAAGGCTTCCCGACACAGGGGCTGAAGAGCTGAGTATTTCTGTAAAGGTGCGTTTGTTCTTTCAAATGCTTTGCTCTCCTCTTGTGCATAAGAAGTCAGCTCTTTCTGAGGCTGGTCCGAAACCACAGGCTCCCGCATCCCACTCATTTCCCTTTCTGAGCACGACCGTTGGCCTCATGATGGCTCAGCAGTTGCAAGATCATGTCCTTAGTGTGTCTGGACCCGCGGGGAAGATGTTTTGTAATACTCTGGAGCCTCTTGACTCACCGTGTGGTCGAGGGTAGGCTGTCCTCTGTCCCCTTTTCCGCTGCTGCAGCAGGGAATACATTCTCATCTTTCCTAAGCAGGCAGTTGCTGCCCCAGCGTTGGAGCATTTTGCACGGTGGCAAAACATGGATGTTGCTCTTGGGCCCTGGGGCTCTGATGCCAGCTTGGTGTGGGCATCCTGCTCCTGCTTGTCCCCCGTCATCCAAGTAGGGCTCATCTTTCATGCTTTCTCCCCTGTTTTCCTTGGCAGTGTCAGGCCAGAAAGCTGTCTGTCCAGCCAGGGCAGGAAGAGTACTTCCTTCTGCAGCCCTGTGGGGAAGAAGTGTTTGTTCCTTTATAAATCTCTGTTAAGGACATTAGGCAGCTTATCTTGCATCTCCTTGGTAGTAAAAAGAGCAAGGTTTAGATTGCGTATAAAGTATGGGGAAGTGCAAGGTGTCTCTCTAAGAAATGGTTCTGACCCTGTAGGCTTCGTGACCTCTTGTCGCAGGGCGGAGCACATCTCTGTCCACCCTCGGCTCCTGTCGCAGGTGTCCTTCCATCTTAGCACCAGGTGGTGAGGTGACAGCCCTCCAGGATGGGAGGGACAAGCCCTGACCCGTGCATCCCCGCAGGGCTCTGTCCTCTGGTGGGCTTGTGTGTCCCGCTGTGCTCCTACGGCTGGCCCTTGAGTATTTGCTCGCACTCTCTGGGTACAAAGCTGGATGGGCTGGAGCTCCCTGCTCGGCACAGCTGTGAGGGCCACTCTCAGGCAGCACTTGGTGCTTTCCGGCTGCCCTGAGCTGAGGGCAGTATCCTGAACATGCTCAGCATGACCAACACTGGATCGTTCAGTCTCTTAATTTCCAAGTTGGCTGTGACTTCTGTGGTCATCCAGGATTAAAGCAACTGTAGGTGTTGTAGGTGAGTAAACTGAGAGTGGCGAGCTCCTTCATCCTGGGCCCGGCGGTGAGGTCGGCAAACACGGATGTGTGTATCACGTGGCTTTAGTGCTGTCCGTCGCGACCTCATTTGACTGCCCCTACTTAGCAGCTGGGGAAGGAATCTGCGTGGTAGCTCGTGGGTGCTGGTGCTGCTGCTGCTGCTGCTGCTGCTGCTGGGAGCGAGTCTGGAGTCCCACATCCTGCACCACCCGCTCCCTGCAGCGTGGTTCTCCCACCCCCACAGGCCCATGTGCCATCCTGAGAGTCACACTAGGCGTGCGGAGCCCTGAACCCAGAGAGGGTGTGAGTTGCCCTGTGAGTACCCCGCAGACCGGGACCCTCAGATCACCCCGGTGAGAAACAGCGTTGTCACCAGCCTGCACTTGTCACCTCCAGTTTTCCTCCAGATTCAACCCTCGAGGTGTGGGGATATCACCAACTCCGGTTATTTTAGAAAGAGCTAAGGACTGAAATAGACTTATTTATTCATTCTTTCAGGCCAAGTTAAAAGCCTGCCTTTTGCTTTCCTCTGCTTCCAAAGGCTTGAGAGCAGTGGAGGTGTTAAGGGGAACTGCCCCGGCCTGCTCAACAGGAAGAGGAAGGACTGTCCCGGGGTACAGAGCGTGCAGTGTCCTCATACCCATTTGTAATCACGCTTTGAAACCCTCGTCCAGCAACGCTGAGGGGCGTCAGGGCTGCCTGGTCACGGAGTCCCTCACAGACACCCAGAAAGCTGCCTTGAGCGTCCTCCCCTCTTCCCAGTCGGGATCTTCCTGCCGACCCCACAGCCCTGCTCCCTCCTCTTGCCAGCCTCCTGCGCTTTCAGCTCCTCCTACCCGTCCAGTCCCAAGGGCGCCCTCCTTACCAGGGACTCCACTGGAGGTCCTGGACTTAGTCCTGGCTCTGTCACCCAGCTGTGGACCTCCCAGGCCTCTGTTTCCCGGGAGCCAGAACGATTACAGACCCACATGCGCGAGGCGCAGCCACCCACCCAGTGGGTGCTCATGGTGCCAGTGTTGTGCGGTGACGGGTGTTTGTGTCTGCCCCGTGCGCGGCAGTGGAGGTTCGCAGCCATCGTGGCTTGGGGCTGCAGGGTTGAGCCGCGGAGCTGCCCCATGCCTAGCGGCGTTAGGCTCGGATCTGACGCCCCCTGGCGGTTGCTCCTCGTCTTGCATCGCCTTGCTGTGTGCGAGTCTGGTCTCCGGGAAGCGTTTCCTGTACCATCCGGTCTCAGGATGCCACTGGACCCTTTCATGTGGCCTAGGAACCAGGGATTAGATAACCCCGGAGCGCAGTCTCCCCACTCGGGACGTCCAGGTGCAACCCAGCTGGGGGAGAGACCGCCCATCAGTCTTTATTTGATAACTGACAGGTGGATGTGCTTTTCAGAGCAACCAGATGAACCCTGGGGAGGGCATTCGTGTGTATTGTGTCCCCGGGCTACGTCACTTGACACTTGTGGTATCTGTGTATGCAGAAAGCAATTGGTCTTCCCATTATGCCCACAAAACTGGAGCAAATGTACAAAGGAGCCCACACTTCTCCAGAGTTTCCCTTATTATCAGCATCGTCGAATTCCAGCACCCAGAGTCCCCAGGGAACCTGTGACACATTGACCTTTGCTCAGCTGGTGGGAAGTTCGGGGACGGGGTCTCCCAGGCCCAGGGCTGAGTGTGGTCCGCATAGCCTCTTTGCTCAGCTGGTGGGAAGTTCGGGGACGGGGTCTCCCAGGCCCAGGGCTGAGTGTGGTCCGCATAGCCCTCTCCGCACACCGACCGTCTTGCGTGACTGGTGAGGTGTGGCGGGGCTTGGCACGGCCCACTGTTCTTCCCGCCTCTGCTTGGTGAGTTTCAGACGGGAGCGGCTTGAGGGTCAAGCTGCTCACAGAACTTGTTACCCACTGTGCAAGATGCACTGTCTACTGCACCGCTCATGGTACCTTCTCCAGGAAGAAAGTTGCTCTCCTTGCTTTGTTTTGTTGGGTTTTTTGTGGTACTGGGGACCAAACCCGGGTGTGCGCTTATCCCTCAGTTACATCTGCAGGCCTTCTTATTTTTAATTTTGAGACAGGGTCTCATTAAGTTCCTAGGCAGGAACTTGAACTCGGGGTCCTCCTGCCTCAGCCTCTGTCGGTGCCGAGATCACAGGCTTGTGTCCCCACTCCCCAGTCCTTTCTCGTCTTGTCACTTGAGGTGTGTGTGTTGCATGGACATCAGTAGTAAGAGAATGAGCACTTGCTCAGAAATGCTCTGGCCCCTCTGCGGCTCCACAGCCGCACTCGTTTGGTGGAGACCCAATGGCCCTGGAGTGGGCTTTGGTTCTTTTCTTTAGAAAGATGGAAGCCATGGGAGCCCGGAGACGCTGCTTGTTCCACGTCTCAGGTTCCACGTCTCAGGCGTCCATCAGCCCAGGGGAAGGTCGGTGGGGTCTTTGCGCCATCTCCACTGTGAGCACTGTTGACCGCGCCTGTGCTCTCTCCTAGGCGTGCTGGCCATCCTCGTGCCCCGCCTGGACCTGGTCATCTCCCTGGTGGGCTCCGTGAGCAGCAGCGCCCTGGCCCTCATCATCCCGCCGCTCCTGGAGATCGCCACCTACTCCTCCGAGGGCCTGCGCCTGGTCACCATCGCCAAGGACGCCCTCATCAGCCTCCTGGGCTTCGTGGGCTTCGTGGTGGGCACCTATGAGGCTCTGGCCGAGCTGATCCAGCCCAGCGCCACTCCTGTCTCCACTAATTCCACCGGTGCCTTTGCCTACTGAGCTGGGGGCATCTCGGGCCCACCGCACCGCCCTGGCTGTCCTGGACCTGTCCCCGGAGCCTCCAGGTCCGGCCTGGGGCAGGTGCAGGGTGTCTGGGTTGTGCGGATTTCAGCCCGGACCTTGTCAGCTCGCCCCGTGGTGCCTCCTCCCTCATGGTCTGCCTCCTCGTCCAACCCACCTCTCCCAAAGCATTCCTCTCGCACGGCTCACTTTATTTAAACATTTTCGTGTCTCCCACCCCAGGTTTTCTGCTTGGTGGACCAGGCCTTGTGAGTGAGTGGGCACCCCTCTCCACTTGAGAAAGCTAGGCCTCCTCACCCTCCCTCAGTTTTGTCCCGGAGGGTTCCCCCCCCACTCAGCTCTCTAGGGGTGTCTGGCCCTACCTCGTGGTTGAAAGCCCAAACCTGGAGTTTTTAACCCTTGCTCTCCCTCACTTGCCCTGGACCTGGCCCCGGACCCCCTCCCCTCTGAGTCCCTCCGTGTGGGTCGTGAGTGTGTGTCCTTCACATTAGCTCTGAAATGACGTAAGATGCTGCCAAAATGGAAAATATTTATATTTTATTTAAGATTAGGTTTCATGTTTTTAGTTTCTATCAGTCTGGGATGATTAGGAATCGTTTCTACTTCTGTGACACCCACCCCCACCCCCGTACTGGGGATCAAACTCAGGACCTTGCACTTGCCAGGCAGGTGTGGCGCCATTGAGCTACATCCCCGCCCTTCCTCAGTACCCTCTGACTCAGCCTTGACTCTTGCCCCGGAGGTGCGTGTGGAGCGCCTGGATGCCCACACCTGTCCGGCAGGGTCACCTGTGCACCCATTGGGGCGGCCCGGGTCTCACCACCTGCTGCCCCTCAGCTCGATTTCCCTGGCCGGGCGGAGGTCTCAGGGTGGCTGGTGCAGGGGGTGATTTGTGTGTTCGGGCCCAGTATTCAAGCTCAGTTCCTGGCAGGCGAAAGAGATAGCAGTCCCTTTGCCGTGGTGCCAGGAAGACCCTTGCTGCTGTGGGCGGGAAGCCGAGGTCAGGGACTGACTGTTCGAGGCGGAATCGGCCCCAGCTGCTCCCACACTGCGTGAGGACGCACAGTACTTGGTCGTTTAGGATGGGCGGGGTGGAGCCGTGCACGCCTCACGCGGCCCCAGCCCTCCTCTTGGAGAGGAAACGCAGAACACTAAGGGGACCCACGAACTCTGCTGTGTCCCCAGCCTGTCGCCGACGGGGAGGTCACCTCAAGCTCAGCCTGCGGACCACGGTAGGGAGCAGG